ACACACACACACACACACACACACACACACACACACACACGTACACATCACCACACCCATGTCAAGGGATTGGTCCAAAGTTCCCCTGGCACCGCCCTCAGCTCGGAGGACCCTCCCTCCTGGCGCTGTGCAGTCTGTCGCTGCCAGTTTGATTTACATCGTGACCCACCGCCGCACCGCTCAGCTGCTGCTCACCTTTACACCCACCTTCAAACTCCTCTTACCCTGAGAGACTTTACACTGGGACCTCAGCGTCATGCAGAATAATGGATAAACTCTGGAGAACCTCTCACAGTGGAGGTGCACTCCTTCAGCTCTGCAGCCTCTGACTGTTTAAACCTTTAAAAAGCGACTTTACTCACTTGTATTCATGATGCGAGGCTGCTGCAGCAGATGACTGAAGTTTTGAGCCGGTTCCTGAGTTGGTGAAGCCGCTGGTAGGAAGTTGGTCACCGGGTGCCTCCTCCTCCTCCGCCTCGGTTTTTCTCCTCACCTGAGGCGCGCACCACTTCCAGCCAGGCCCCGGCGCACAGCCTCTCTCCGCGGGCCTCCCCTCCCTCAGCGGCGGTCAGGATGGCCTCCGTGACACCGGGAGCTCTCGCCACCTGGAAAGCCACGATCTTACTCTTCAACATCATCTCAGCCGCCGTGGCCAAACGACATGTCGTGTACTGGAACTCCACAAACACCAGGTGAGGAACCCCCCCTCCTCAAAAGAGCAGTTTACTGAGCTCCTGCTCGCTTCAGGCCCAAATCAAGGATTAGTAGTAACATGGTGAAAAGTGGTTCAGTGTCACGACTTGGCATCAAACAAACGTGGCTGGTCTGAACTTGAATTCCTAATGACTCAGGCTCTGGTTCCTGCGAAGAATCTGAGCTATGCAGCAGATCATGTCCTTGTGTGCAGGAGCAGGTTTGATTACTTAAAGCCTGTCCTGAGCCAAAAGTTATCACACAAGTGTTTCCTCTGGATAAAGAAGCTTGATCTCTGGGGACCTCCTGCAGGTGATCATCTGTCTCATAATAACTACACCCTAACCCTGGCTTTCACCTGCCCACTGCCTTGTGGTGTTTAGTGATTATGCTACTTAAAGAAAAGCAGAAGTAAGGGCTTCTTCTTAAGTGTACTGAACGGTGCCCCAGATAACATTCTGAGGACACAGGTGTATTTTAAAGTGTGCGTGTAGTGTGTGTGTGTAGTGTGTTTATTGGGACCATTAGCAGGCCAGAGCCAGGCTCACCTGCTGATCCAGGTGTTCCAGTCTGGCTAATTGAGGGGTTGAGGTGGGAGGCCTGCAGGGCGAGTCGGGCCTGCTGCCCAGAATAACACGTCCCCTGATCGCCTCTCTCTTGACCTGCACATTTACAAACTCCCTCCACAAGGCCTGGTTTCCCCAACACTCCTTCACATGAGTGACCTTTTTACTTAATAGCCACCAAGACCACTTTGTCAGTCACAGCTTTGTCTTTTTTTACATTTCTGGATGCTCAAAATGTGACAGAAGTATGAGCCCAGGATTTATAATTTCCCAAAGGGCATTTTTGTCGGATCTGCAGGACTTTCCTGTACTAGAGTCAGCTGAGGTTATATCTAGTGTGTCCAGCTGGGTAAAACCCAGTCTTGTAATTGGGATCCTACAGAAATGCGGTGTGGCGAGGATTAGGAAGCATCTTCTTGTTCCCCAGAGATTCAGGGATGAATGGTCGCACAGCCTGTGGCAGGGCCACACAGTCGAGTGCAACACCACACAATCACAATGCCATCAGCATCACGGCGGAGGGTAACCCACTGTGGCAGAGAATCACTCTCATCAGCAACACCACCCAATCACAAAGCTATCAGTGGAGCCGTGATGTTGCAACCGCTCCAGAATCCCCTGGGTTTACCACCAGGACTCACTTTCTCCTCCTCTCCTCTCCTTTCTCATTCATTACCTCCCTTGTTACATCCCACTCACCTTTTCATTTTTTTTTTTTGGTTGGGGGGTTCTGCACTCTTCCCTCACCCGTTTATCTCTCAGACTCCCTCCTGCCCAGTGATGGATATTGGCGGTGTGATTAGTTGAGCTTCATTCATTTAACCATACCATATTTTCTATTAGCTGCCTGCCAGCCAGCCAGGTTGTCCTGAGGCCTGTAAAGGAAGCCTGGCAAGAGTGAAGGAGCACAGGGACAGCAGAGAGAGCTTTGCCTCTGTTGGCATGAGGCTGCAGGGCATGGTCCAGGGCTGGAGTCCATGCTCTAGGTGCAGAAGGCACATTATATGGAAAAATAACCACATTTGGCTTTTTGGTTATTTTGGTTATACACAACATTGTAGTAAAAATGAAACCATTATTATTCACTATATAACTCACTTCTTAAGGCTGCTTTAATCATTAGTTCTATCCAAACAATAGATTGATGACTCCCTCAGCTTCAGGACAGTTTTATCGTCTTTTAGTGCATTGTTTTGATTTAACAGCCAACACAACTGTTCCAACTTTACATCAACTTTGTTTATATTGCAAAATTGCTCTGACTAACTAGGGCTGGGTGATTATAGCCAAAAATGTTATCAGAAAAATTTCAATATTAGTCGATATCGATACTCAGTTCTGTTTAAAGACTCATGGGCAGAGAATGACAAAATATTTTACAAATCTAACATAAAACCGTTATACAGCCACTCCATGCTTAAACAATGCATGAGCAATATATGGATAAATATATTGAACTTGAAAATTATATTGTGATAATTATTGACATCATTTTACAGCCCAGCTCTTTGACTGACTGCTACCTGGCCAGCATCAAGCTGCAAATATTAAAACTGAATAAGTTTTAGATATTTATTGTTTTCTTTTTTACCAGCTTAAGAACAAGATATTTTCTTCAGGCATTTATGGATTAAACTAAATAGGTACAATATAATAAGTCAATCAACACTAAGATGATAATGTCAGTGCTGTGTTCCTTAAAAATCTATTAATTTCAGTATGTTTAAAGAAATCACATCTTCTATTTAATGCAACATGTTGACAGGATGTTGTTATTCTGGCCTTTGTGCACCTTCTAATTGGTTCAACCCATTTTGTAAATGCTGGCAATAAAGCTTTCAACACCTAGAAGCTAAAGAAGTGTGCAGAACAGTTTAATTATTCCTGCCATCAGGTGAAGAGAAGCTACACAAAGGCCCGAGCTCATATATATACAGTATATATCGAACACAACTGTAGCTGGTGAGCAAACAGGCTCTTATTTAATACGGGTGACAGGAGACATTCTCTGGCCGTCACCTTTCCTTCGACATCTAGATTTATGGTTTTAATGAAGCACGGGCAGTGAAGTGGAGACTGAAGGGTCTCGTTGCTCTGGTCTTTGATGGCTAATATGGCTGTAACAAAGGCCCAGTGAAACACTTGGCACACATTCAGCACCCTCCAGATTGAAAAATGGAGCTCTGAAATGGATGTGATAGACCTGACTGCAGGGTCAGCGTCGAGCGTCGTGGAATCAGATGCCCTGGCCTCTCTCATTGTGGGGCTCAAGTGGTTCGATTGCCCTCTTTTACAATTTTATGGACGGAGTTTATGATCGCTTTCGATTTTACAACCGCGTCCCTCCCTCTCTCTGAGCAATAGATCCTTATTAGATGAGAAATTCTTTTTTACTTCCTCGAGCAGTTAAAGGTTAGTAAAATATCATAACCTCAGCTTACCTCAGCTTGGTTTACTGGTGTATTCAGCCCCCTCGTGTGTGCTTTAAAACCTATTGGAGCGAATAGGTCGAGCAGCCGACTCGCTGATTCAACAGTGTCTGCGTCCTGTGCCATGTGTTAGGAAGTTTACTCAGAGAAACTTTGCCTTTAGATTTAACAAGAATACATATCACTCATACCTGAAGCTTCTCCATTTGTCTGTCCTCTGATTCACCCTTGTTCTTGGCTCCTCTACACCTCTACCTTTTGTTTTTATCCGTCATGGCGTCAAGAGCTGAGCTTGTTATAACAGTTTCCCTGGATCACTGCTCAAACTTGTCTCCAAATCTTTGCGTTCTCCTCTCCCAATTCCAGTCTTTCTTTTCTAGGGCTGTGGATTTGTAGGGTCTTAATTAGAAATAACAATATTTTACCATACATGCACAATAGGAATATTACAACCAATGTTTCTTAACATGTATCCCCTATTGCTTGTACTTGAACTCACCATGCAAGTCTGGACAAGGACCTTAAAGCATTTTTAGACATCAGACCCCCTCCTCTACCTCTCTCTCTCTCTCTCTCTCTCTCTCTCTCTCTCTCTCTCTCTCTCTCTTTCTTCCACTCTGTCTTTATCTCGCTCTCCTGCTCTGACAGAGACTGAGGTCGAGCTCAGGAGCCAGTGGAGCATGTTTAAACGGTGCGTGCAGCAGATGAATATTTGTATTGGTTTTCTATATCTTTATTGAAAGCAGCCCTCATAAGTCTTCCGTGTAATCTCCGCTCTGTTTATGCATCATTTCCCTGTGTGCGCTCACCGATGAGCCCGTTTAAATACCAGAGTAAATCACCTTCTGCATACCATACCTTCACACACGCAGACACATGCACGCACACATCTGGCGCGTGGGCTTGTGCAAGCAGACACCCCCAGTATACAGTAAAGTGAAATCAGACACTGCTCGTAATTGTGTCTTGTCAGGGGGGATGAGTGCACATTAAGACTGATTTCTGTTTAAGTTTTTATTTTTTTTTAAATATAAATTCTGCACCCGCAGGTCTGACTGTGTCTATTCCTGCTCTGTCGCGTGTGTGCATGCAAATGAACGTATTTCTCGCAGTGGCTGCTATCTCTTCTCTCTGTGTCTGTTTCTATACTAATCTCCGTCTTCCCCTGGTAAATGATTAACATGGAGAACCTGGCTGAACTATAATCAACAAACCCACAGTGAGGTAATTACCACTTTATTCCCTGTCCTGCTAACAAAGCAGCCCCCCCCCCCCCACACTCTCTATCTCTCTGCTTCTCTCTCTTCTCATCTGTCATCAGGCTGTATCAGTGTCCCTCTCTCGCTCCTCTTCTGTCTTTCTGTGTCAATGCTTATTGTCTCTGCTGTGGTCTTGGTTAGATGCAGAGATGTGTTTGTGAGTGTGTTTGCGCACCTTATCGCTCTTTGTAAATGTGCTTTCTCTGTTTGTCGCTGGTATTGAGTGTATTATCTGGAGGTAAACTGAGGATGAGTTAAGTTTGTGTACACTTCAGCTTCTTCATCTCTGTCGGAAAACAATGCCGGGCAGTGATTTTAGTGATTTGTATGCCTGTGAATTGACATTCGGTGGCATTGTTGTCTGCTGAAGTTTGCTTCAGTGGAACAATGGCTGTTTCAGAGGTGTGTGTATGATTGTGTGAGTGTGCCTTAGGTTTACGGTTTGCATAAAAGTCTTTTTTTCCGTGAGAAAAGATGGCGTGATAAATTTCATTTCTGGAAAAACAAAACCTAAAAAGTACTAGGTTACCCGGCTCTTTAATACAAATACTTTATCTATTTTTTCTGCTTCCTTCTCTCTACTTGCAGAAAGTAATGCAAGTCCTCAATTCCAGCCAGTGGTGTGCGGCTGTGGGAACATTTACCAACTGCTGTGCCGTCCTTTCGACTAAATAGGTCATTGTTTTGTTTCCACTTGCTAGTTGAATTTAGGTGTGACTAAAGTGTTGGAGGGAACAGGCATGTT